CTGGGATCCCACCCCTTCCGGAGCCCAATTCCCGAAGTTTTCCCAGGTTTTCCCCTCACATTTCTGCTCCTCGGAGCGCTGGGAGACGGGAGTGGGGGGCTGGGAGTCGTCCTTGTCGTCGCCCTCCTCCTCGGCCAGGTGGGAATGGGCGTAGTGGTAGCTCAGCCCCGGGCGGTTCTTGTAGCGCTTCCCGCAGACTGCCGAGGAAATCCGGGAGAAATCCGGGAAAAATCCCGGAAAAAATCCCACTTAGGGACCGGCCAGGGGAGGGAAATCCCAAATCCCGGCCCCTCCGGAGCTGATCCCGGAGCCGGGCTGGGAGCGCTCCCTGCTGAGCCCAGAGCGGCCAGAATTGGGTAAAAACACACGGAATTCCTGAGGAATTCCCGGGGAATTCCCTGGGATCCCTAAGGAATTGTAGCTTGAAGTCCCAGGATCTCTAAGGAATTGCAGGTATGAGGAATTCCAGGTAAATTCTCCGGGATTCCAGAGGAATTCCAGGTAAATTCCCCGGGATTCCAGAGGAATTCCAGGTAAATTCCCCGGGATTCCAAAGGAATTCCAGGTAAATTCTCCGGGATTCCAAAGGAATTCCAGGTAAATTCCCCAGAATTCCGAAGGAATTCCAGGTAAATTCCCCAGGATTCCAGAGGAATTCCAGGTAAATTCTCCGGGATTCCAAAGGAATTCCAGGTAAATTCTCCGGGATTCCGAAGGAATTCCAGGTAAATTCCCCAGGATTCCAGAGGAATTCCAGGTAAATTCCCCAGGATTCCAAAGGAATTCCAGGTAAATTCCCCAGGATTCCAGAGGAATTCCAGGTAAATTCCCCGGGATTCCAGAGGAATTCCAGGTAAATTCCCCGGGATTCCAGAGGAATTCCAGGTAAATTCCCCGGGATTCCAAAGGAATTCCAGGTAAATTCCCCAGGATTCCAAAGGAATTCCAGGTAAATTCCCCAGGATTCCGAAGGAATTCCAGGTAAATTCCCCGGGATTCCAAAGGAATTCCAGGTAAATTCCCCAGGATTCCAAAGGAATTCCAGGTAAATTCCCCAGGATTCCGAAGGAATTCCAGGTAAATTCCCCAGGATTCCAAAGGAATTCCAGGTAAATTCTCCAGGATTCCGAAGGAATTCCAGGTAAATTCCCCAGGATTCCAAAGGAATTCCAGGTAAATTCCCCAGGATTCCAGAGGAATTCCAGGTAAATTCTCTGGGATTCCAAAGGAATTCCAGGTAAATTCCCCGGGATTCTGAAGGAATTCCAGGTAAATTCTCCGTGATTCCAGAGGAATTCCAGGTAAATTCCCCAGGATTCCAGAGGAATTCCAGATAAATTCCCCAGGAATCAATCCAATGGCAAAATCCCCACTGGGAATGTGTCGGGGAGAGGAAATTCCCACCCCAAAAATTCCCATCCCGAGGTAAAAACCGAGGGAAGGGGAAATTTGGGAATTCTGGGGTTCCAAGGAGGGATTTGGACGCGGCCACGGATCCATCCCGGCTCCTCCAAACCCCAAAATCCATCGGTTTTCCCGTTTCCCATCCCGGAATTTGGGAGATTTCTGCCTCCATCCGTGGATCAGGGAATCGGCTCCGGTTCCCCAGCGCTGCTTTTCCAGGTTTTTGGGTTTTTTTGGGAGTTTTTCCTTATCCAAGGACGCCCCAAAATCCCTTTCCAGCCCCATTTTGGGGATGAGCCCGGATCCGGCTGCTTCCCAACCCGAGGAATTGGGATCAAATCCCAAAAAAGCAGCGCCGGAGTGGGAATTCCAGCGCCCGGTGCAGACCTTTCCCAACGTGTTTTCCCTGCTTTTCTCCCTAAATGGGGAAGGAGCCGCTTTTGGGATGAGATTTCCTGGTTTTGGGGCTTTCCCGGAACCCCACGGAAATTCCCGGATCCGCTTCCACCTCCGGATCCCCCCCCGGAGCGTGGAAAAATCAGGGAAGAAGCGGCTGGATCCGGGAAAGCTGAACTTCCAAAGGGAGGCCGGCTCCAGCTGCCCGCGCTGGTTTTTTGGGATAAAAACCACGGGAATCGCTCTGGGATCTGTTGGGGCTTTTGGGAAAACGGGATTGGAGCAGCGCTGAGGAAAAAACAGCAATTCCAGAGGGATTCCCGGTGTTCCAAAATCACCTTTTTCCCCCCCCAAAAAAAAAATTCCTGTGGGACAACTCTGGAATTCTCCCGGAGGCGAGGGAGAAGAACCTCGGGAATATCCCAAATTCCCCACCCCCATCCCGATTTTTCCAGGCCTTTTTTAAGGCCAAACCCCCGAGGTTTGGAGCCGGGGGAGCTCCGGAGGCGGCGGCATTTCCCGGGATTCGGGATCCGGATGGAAGCTCCGTGTTTTTCCCGCCGCTGGGCTCCACGGGGTGGGGGTAAATCTTTGTTTTCCCGGCCTCATTCCCTGCTGGAAAAGCGTCAGGGGGCCCGAGCGGGGCTGACGTCGCTCCCGTGGCCTTTTGGCTTCTCCCTCCCCTCTCCCATCCCAGGGGCTCCGCAGGGGGAGATCGGAATTCTCTTTTTTTTTTGGGAATGGGGAGTGGAAAAAAACCAGAAAAAAAAAAAAAAAAAAATAAGAAAAGGAGGGAAAGGGAAGGGGAAAAAAAAAGGAGGAAAAGCAGGAAAAACGAGCAGAGAGAGAGCGGAACTACCTCGGTCGGGAGGTTTCAAGGAATGCTTTTGTTTGTAACTGTCTGAAACACAGAAAGAGAAGTCGTGAGAGGACACGGACACACACACACGGAAATCCGGGAAAAAAAGGGCAGGAAAAGCTGGAGCTCAGGGAGCCGGGTGGGGGGAGAATTAGTGCTGGGAAGTGGCAGGACAGGAGGGAAAAAAAAAGAGAGGAAAAGGAGCCGGAAAAGCTTCCCTGATCCCGTTATCCCGGCGGGTTCCCGCGCGCGGCGCCGGCAGGGACGGAATTCCCGCTGCCGGGGCTCTCCCGGACTCCGTAAGGGAGGGATGGGAATGGCTCCCAGGGATTCGGATCCGACTGGAAAACCACTGGGATCCAGGGGAGGGGATTTCCCGGCCTTTGGGAAGTTTTTCCTGGTTTTTTTTATCCTGTTTTGGTTTTTTTTTTTTTTAAATCCTGGTTTATTTTTTTCCTGGTGTTTAAAGCCTCGGTGGTTTCCCGGTTATTCCCGGTGGGAAAACTCCACGGTGGGGAGGGAAGTGGGGGGGGCTGGAATTCCGGGATGTTCCCGGCACTCACTGTCACACGCGTAGGGTTTGTCGCGGTCCTCCAGGATGGCGGCGTCCAGCTTCTTCCGAGCGCCTCCCACGCCTTTTCCCTGCGGAAAAATCCGGGATTTGAGGCAAAAACCGGGATGGGGAGCGGGGCAAGGACGGCTCCACGCGGTGGGAAGGGCCCGGAAGCGACAAGAAATCCTCGGGAATTGGGGAAAAACGAGGGGTCTGGGGGAGAATCCCGCTTTTTCCTCGCTGAGGGGGGGATTTTCCAGGAATTCCTTGGAATTGTCTCTCACCTTGGCCTTGCCCTTCCCTCGGCGCTTGGGTGTGTCCTCCTCGTAATCCTCATCATCCAAATCGTCCAGGAAATCGTCCGGCTCCAGGATCCGCTGGGAAGGAGCGGAGGGGTTAATGGGGGAAACGGCGGGAAAAACGGCGGGAAAAACGGCGGGAAAACAGCGGGAAAAACGGCGGGAAAACAGCGGGAAAAACGGCGGGAAAAATGGGAAAAACGGCGGGAAAACAGCGGGAAAAACAGTGGGAAAAATGGGAAAAACAGCGGGAAAACAGCGGGAAAACAGCGGGAAAAACATCGGGAAAAATGGGAAAAACGGCGGGAAAAACAGTGGGAAAAACAGCGGGAAAACAGCGGGAAAAACGTTGGGAAAAATGGGAAAAACAGTGGGAAAAACAGTGGGAAAAATGGGAAAAACAGTGGGAAAACAGCAGGAAAAATGGTGGGAAAAATGGGAAAAACAGCGGTAAAAACAGTGGGAAAAACAATGGGAAAAACAGCGGGAAAAACAGCGGGAAAAACAATGGGAAATTCCCAGTTCCCAGGTGGAATTCCCGGTTCCCATCCCAGAACTCCGGATTCCTGATTGGAATTCGCAGTTCCAGGTGTGGAATTCCCGGTTCCCAGGTGGATTTCCTGGTTCCCATCCCGGAATTCCCTGTTCCCACTGCAGAATTCCCGGTTCCCACCCCGGAATTCTCGGTTCCTATTTGGAATTCCCAGTTCCTGGTTGGAATTCCCGGCTCCCACCCTGGAATTCCCGGTCCCTGGTTGGAATTCCCGGTTCCCAGTGTGGAATTCCCGGTTCCTGGTGTGGAATTCCCAGCTCCCACCCCGGAATTCCCGGTTCCTGTTTGGAATTCCCAGTTCCCTGTGTGGAATTCCCGGTTCCCTGTGTGGAATTCCTGGTTCCTGGTGCGGAATTCCCGGCTCCCACCCCGGAATTCCCAGTTCCCAGGTGGAATTCCCAGTTCCCAGGTGGAATTCCCAGTTCCCTGTGTGGAATTCCCGGTTCCCAGGTGGAATTCCCGGTTCCCAGGTGGAATTCCCGGTTCCCTGTGTGGAATTCCCAGTTCCCAGGTGGAATTCCCGGTTCCCAGGTGGAATTCCCGGTTCCCAGGTGGAATTCCCAGTTCCCTGTGTGGAATTCCCGGTTCCCAGGTGGAATTCCCAGTTCCCAGGTGGAATTCCCAGTTCCCTGTGTGGAATTCCCGGTTCCCTGTGTGGAATTCCCGGTTCCCTGTGTGGAATTCCCAGTTCCCAGGTGGAATTCCCGGTTCCCTGTGTGGAATTCCCGGTTCCCGGTGCGGAATTCCCGGCTCCCACCCCGGAATTCCGGGATCACCTTCCGGGCGCGGCTGTTGGTGACCGGGAACTCTCCCAGGCTGTCGTCGTCCATCCTGGGATCCGGCAGGGAACGCTTTTCCAGAGGATCCGTCCTCAGCAGCGCCTCCAGGCTGCTCCCGTCCTGGGACAGCAGCCCCTCCTTCTTCAGAGCCTGCTCCGCGTCTGCGGGAAACGGGGGGAAAAACGGGAAAAATGGGGAAAACGGGAAAAACGGGGGGAAACGGGG